GCTGGGGATTCGAACCCGCCACCTTAGGTGTATGTGGCTGGCGCCTTAGCCGCTTGAGCCACAGGCGCCGAGCCAAGATGCTAGGTACCTTAAAATCAAAAATGCTTTAAAAAACTAATGTCTGCAACAATGTGAAATCTAATTGGAAATACAAATTTATACATTTCCTAAAACAACTGTGCTGAACTGGTGTGGTTAGCCTACTTTGGGGACTAATACTCCAAAAGTACATAATGGAAAGTGAGTACAGACACAGCAAGTACCATAGTCAGAAAAGTACTGTTAGAAAATTATAGTGCATTAGATTTAACATCACATATACTTTATCTAGATAATTCTTTTTAGGTAAATGAAAAGTATCAATGCTAATAAACAAACTCAACTTTACAACTAACTGAAACCAAACATGTCATTAAGTTGCTGTGTTATGGATAATTTAAGCTAGTGTGGTACAAAGTATAGTCTTCAGGGCAGAATTATTTGTTACTAGCTTGCAAGGAGATACTGAGTTTCAGCCAAAATGTAAACCAACATACTGGATCTTGCTACAAAAGAGAAAAATGTCAGCTGAACTAAGCAGTGTGCTTAATATGTGCTTGATTTACAAAGTGGTACAAGTGCCTTATCTTAAGGTGGACTCATAAACTTACACACTTGTCAGATGAGCTGCGATGGGTTGAAGCAACTATTCACATGACACTTCTTAAGGAATTACATAGTTTACATTATTTACTTACATTACATACTTAAAGCATTTGTTTTCCCTCAGGAAAAACAAATTTGACTCACTAAATCATGACTACATACCCAATCAACAGTGCAGAAGTTAACAGCCTCAGCGAAATTAAAACCTTGGTTAAAACCACTGTGGTAGGCTCTTGGAAATGTAATCACAAACTCCCCAGCACACTGATTAGTTCGGTAAACCTAGAGACAGAAATTGGAGACTTTGAGATTCTTAAGTGGTAACATTCTCACTAAAGACAATGTGGACACAGGTTATTAGATGATTGTCCATAAAAGGTAGTTTTATATTACAGTGGTAGACTGTTGCGTGGAAATACTACTTTCTGCCACAAGATGGAGCAGTACCCCAGACTACTAAACTTAATTAGTCTGACCAGAAAGCATGGTGTATATAACAAAAATTTGGCCACACTGAGATTTAAAACACATCTTCCTAAATATAGCTACAATTAAGAATATCCTAATGTAATATTCTTACCCCAAAATAGGATCTTCTACTACTAATTAAAGAAATTCTACTTCCAGAATTTCCTAACATACAGACAGCTCTTCCTAATAGATCTAGCTTACCTCCCATCATTCCCTCCTTACCACCAACCTCACCTCCAAAGTGCCTATATTGTTCTAGGCACATAAATTTCTACACTGCACTTATAGTAGAGGCCTTTTTAAGCCTGATCTATATCTCCTTATCAGTAGTTCTCAAGGTAAGGTTCCCAGAACAGTAGCAGCATCAACCACTAGGAACGTACTGAAAATGTAAATTCTCAAGATTAACACAGACCAAGAGAATCCGAAACTCTTAGGGGTGGGCCACCCATCTGTATGGTAATATGAACTTCATGGTTCTCATACAGGCTATCACAGGAACACCATCCCCCTTCTACCTCGACAACTTCCTCCCTCCTCTATTCTTTGTGAAATACACTAAACAATTTAGCAGAGCTCCAGCACCTACTTTAGATGTCATCTCACATATGAGCCCTTTCTGATTCTCAACAGACTTAACAGACTGGGCTTCTACTTGACACCACTTCGAACCATACAACCCTTCTGTTGTCTGCATAAATATTATTTTTTACCGTAAATTGTGAGTCCCTAAATGTATAAGGAGTTCATTCATCTATCTCAGTAAGTCTAGAATCTAGCCCCAGATGGTTTGCTCAGTTAAAGAACCAGGGCTAGGTATCACTTAGAGAAAGCTATTATTAACAAATTGGAAAGATCAATCAACATAAGAAAAAAAAATCTGTAAGGAAAATACCAACAATGAGATGACAACATTCTCGTACTAACTGGTCAGTATTTTCTTAAGTTGGTCCATGCATAATTTAAGAACCCTCAAAAAGAAATAATCTTTTCTGCTTGTTCTAACCTGTGAAGCCAACATCCTTTCTGCTTGTTCTCACTAACTTCTGAACCCAACAGCATAAAATTTAGGTCATAGCAAAAACAAAAATTCACCTTTTTTTTTTTTGAGACAGAG